GTCATACTTTAAAGTTAAGACGGGGGTCATGTGACTTCAAGGTAGGAAGCATCCTCTAAAGGGGATGTCGGCAGTTAATCTTCATTAATCTCTTCCGTGAAAGGAGGGGAAATGGGAATCATCACTTTGTTCCACGCTGTCTTTCAAGCCTGCCGCATAAACTCTCGCATTAGATACAGGCGCGTAAACACACACACAGGTTGTGTACGGTCGAGTGGAGAGAAGCTGCTGTTTCATAAGCCGGGTCACGTCAGGTCAGACCGCCTGTGTATAACATTTTTCAACACCCTGTTTTCCTCCTCTGCTCCTCCTGCTCCTCTCTTTCTTCACTGCTATGCAGCCAATCAATGTTTTCACATATCTTCATCCTCTTCTCCAATCTCTCCAGGCATCCTTTTTTGTGCATCACTTCTTTCTTTTTTAGGTTTTTTCCTCCTTCAATCTTCCGCTTACGTCCCTTTTATGGCCTTCTGTCATGGTTCCTTGATCATTCCAGCTTCTTATATCTGTATGTAAACGCTACATTCATTCCACTGCAATGAGGCCATTGGGCTTTTTCATTAACTTCCCTGTTGAGATACGGCGGCTACTTTAATTGCTGATTTCCATCTTTAGTCTTAGCACAGGTTAAAAGACCACGTTTCTTTTTTATTTGTCTCTATAATCTGCATTACAATATGCTTCATTATGTTTGAACCTACTGATTGACCAGGTGAATCCAGGAGCTGCAATGGCTCACAATCCTCTTCAGATTTATGGGTTTTTAGGCTGCAATCACAGATTACTTTCTGTTCTTAAATGAGTTCAATATGTTTTCATAGGGCTGATGAATTATTTAGTTTATGAAATGGCATCAAATGCACCAGAGATGAGTTTCTGAAGTGCTTGCTTTCACAAACCCAGATTTGTTCTATTTACCGCGTAGCATCAAGTTTCTTTTTTATGTCCTCTTACATTACCTTTCAAAGTCCCGGAAATATATCATTCCCCGTGTACCATGAGTATGAATTCTGTATCATCGAGTTTATTTACGGCACCGTTCCATCAAATCAAAAGAGTCTTGAGGTCTCATGCAAATGTATGCCCCTTTTACCCCAAAGTCCAGCCTGACATATTGGCTATCTTTTGAAGCTTTGGGAGTTTAAAGTTCTGCACTTTGAGTGAAAGAAAAGCAGAAAGTCATTGCGTGTGAGCGCTTCAATCACTCTATGTTTGACATTTTTGCTTGATAGATTAATTTAAAGATGCAGTGTAGAGCTTTCTTATAAACAAACAAATGTTTAACCATCAAGACTACTTTTTGCGGAAACTCTCGCGCTAAGCTAAGCTAAGCTAATCAGCAGCTGGAGGCTGGCGGAGGCTTAGCGTTTCCCGGGCTGATACGAGAGTGCTACTACATTCCTTACCACTTTAATCCACTCACTCAGCCATTGTGGCTGTTTCAAGATAATAGTGTCAGCTCAAGGCCTGAATCCAACATTTCCTACACTGTCCCCTTTACTTCACTTTAATTTCTCGTGTCCTCCTGCTGGCCTTTTTGCCTCCTTTTTCTTGTGTATCCTTTTCTACTCTTCTATTTCTGCCGTCTTCGGGGATGTCTGAATATTTTTTTTTTAAAGTGACCCCTTAGAGGGATCCTCTGGTATTTTAATTTGTGGTTTCTTTCATCACATTTTGCCTGTAGCTCGTCACCTATTTTGAAATAGCTTCCATGTCGGAGACTCATTTAGCTGAGAAATGTCTAAAGCCTTTTTTTTCCCCCACTGTGCAATAACAAGAAGGTGCTCGAGACACAGACGGAAGCTGACTTATAGACGTCTTACTTTTATACTTTTATGTTGTTTACTTATTTATTTATGTGTAGGGGATTGTCCTTTTTGCAGCTGTTGAATTATTTTCATTGCTAGACTACAATCACAGTGACCTGAAAGCTACATTTTGTATGACGCCTGTTTGTATTTATATCTTATAAGTACACGATTCACTTACAGCTTGTTTTCTAGTTTTCTTTCTGTCTCTAATTCTTTGTCTTTTAGTTGTCAGAAGCCAGAGATAAGACGATTGAGCGTCTGAATGGAACAGTAGAATACAAAGCGCTAAAAGGCAAAGACCCCTCCCCTGTTGAACTCGTCAAGAAGATCGAGCAGGTACGCAACCTTGTGTGTGTGTGAGTGTGTGTGTGTGTGTGTGTGTGTGTGTGTGCAAACTTTGTATATATATGTAAGGTAGTTTTTGCTATCCAGCCCTGCACCTTGTACCTATTTATAAAGGTAGGTCATCATTCTTTAATTTTTACAGTTTTGTTCATGAATAAAAGGAACATAATCATTGTGTCTCTGCTCACGTATAGCTGGAGGTGAATCTAGCAGAGCGGGAGAGGCAGGTGCTGGAAAAAGAACTCCTCGTGGACCAGTTGACCCGGCTCTCGAAGCCGCTCAGCGAGCAGGCGGAGAGCTGCCAGCAGGACAAACTCTCACTGGCAAAGAAGGTAGACCACTCAGAGCCACTTGCACTCAGAGAGAAGGATCAGTTGGAGCATACACAACTACTGTATACAACAAACACAAACACTTCTTATCATGCAGTAGTTAGTCCACAGACGGTGCAGGCTTTATCTCTACACATTGTTGAAGGAGCATGTGCAGTCCATGTGAGGAGAACACAGAGGGCATTAAAGGAGTTCACCAAGCATTAGGATTTCCTCGTACTTGCTCTTTCTGTCTCTCTGCCTGATTGTCCATATGCCTCTTACATACATGCCAATTATATGAGCCTCAACACAAGCTTCTGGAACAAGACTTATTGACTCTAACATGTATTTTAGACACCTACAGCTACAAAAGGAGGACTATAGTTTAACCAAACAGGCCTAGATAAGACTATAATGACTAGCCTCATAATTTGTATTTAATGTCAGTCTAAACAAGAATTCTGTATCTAAGCACATGTTGAGTGTGAAATCCCTCCTTATCTCTGTGTGTGTGTGTGTTTTGCCTCCAGCTGAATGAGCTCCGAGCTCACATAATCGACACCAACCACCGCATGATGGCCGCCACCGCCGAACTTTCCATGAAGCAAGCTGTCACTCTGGCTCTGCAGCAGGAGATCAAAGAGAAAGAGCTGCAGGTTGGAGGAGGTCCCAGTCACTCATAACACTAACAACAATGTTGTGGGTCTGGAGTCCAAAAAACTGTGATCTTAGTCACACATTCCCTCTCTCTAGCTTCAGTCTCCCGCTGTCTCTCCCATTTATCCTGTCACTCTCCGCTGAACTCAATTAAGCAAAACAAGAAAAGTTGCTGTTGATTTTGAGATGTCCCATGATTTACCTCCAACCCTTTAATTTGCTTGTTTGCAAAGAACGACAGATGAAGAGGCGAACACTGGGGGACAAAATACAAATCCAATAACAATTTCCATAACAAATGAGACATTGACAAAAGAAATAATTGAAATATCACTAACACAGTAAATCGAAGCACCGGGGACTCACGCTTCATATTTAGCAATGTTACAAAAAGTCACAGAGAGCAGCAGTTTTTAACTCAGAATCTGAGAATCGATCAAACACCCCAGAAGAGCTACTGTGATGTCAAACTGCTGCACAAGCTCATTATAGAATCTTTCACAGGTTTTTTTTACATTGTCACCAGGAGCCTGTTAGCAACCTCTGTATCCAAAGCAACCAAGTCAAGTTCTGTTGTTGTTTACATTTAAGCAAGGTGTTAGCTTTAGCATTTAGCCTTCAATCGAACTGAAGCAAACTGAGCTGTTTACTCCTAGCAATGTTCAAAAGACTTGACGCTATATTAACAGTAAGTGAACCTTATATAGTGGCTCTGAGTTGTAAATATAACATTAAACAGGGGACATTTTTCAGTTGTTAGCTAAGTTAATAATCTGTATTTGTGGTGTATACTACACATTAACACTGTCATAACACTTAACTGAATAGTCCCGCTTTGTAAGGAATTTACCTTTAAAGCACTTAGCTGGTCATTTTTAAATCCTGTCCTCTTACTAGTCAAGCTGTAAAGCAGCATGTGGTTCATTATTACACGTCTAGTCTTCACTATAACCTATTTTTGCTCTGTTTGCTCTGTGTCCTGTGGGAAGCATGTGGCTCTCCAGCTGCTAAATACAATATACTTGTTTGTTTATGTCTAATGAGTAGATGTACTCTACATTGTAACGTATTTTACTTGTTTATTTGTTTTTGTTTTTGCTACCTTTTGCTGGAAACAGGACGGGTAAACTCAGGCATGAATTAGCACTCAGTAAAAAACGAAACATTGAGCTGAAAGACTCTAAGAAACACCATTATTTGCTTCAGTCAAATCAAACATAAGGGCGAGCTAACGCTTAAGATACGCTTTAAAAATGACCAGCCATCGTGTGTTTTTAATTTAGGCTAAGCAAAAAAACTGGAGCCCAAGCTGAATCACTTTAGCAAAATGTTTTGAAATTCTGACTGTAACAGAGAGTCTCCCAGCTTCTTGTCTTAATGTAAAATTAAACTACTTAAAGGGAGAAGATATCCCACATGCCTTGTAAATGTTTCAGGCAAACAGTGTTAATAACCTGAGGAACCCCTGCAGCTGATGTATGCCTGCAGCGCTACATTGACACAAACCCCAAGTAGAAAATGCAGAAGTATAACTTTGCCCAAAATCTGACACTAATGCAACCGTCTGTTTTTTTGGGAATGGTTACAATCCAATTGAGGCGGGGCAGTGCGGAGTGGACGACAGGAGTGGCAGGAATACAAAGTGAATGTTGTTATGTTTCCAGATGGACAGGTGCCAGCAGCAGCTGGAGCAGGGCCTGCCACCGTGCCCCGAGATGGAGGAGGAGTGGAAGAGGATGCTTAGAGAGAAGAAGAGGAGACAGAGGAACAAAGAGGAGAGAGAGAGGGTAAAAAAAAACAAAAAAACACCAACACACACTCACAATGATCACTGGTCAGGAATTGATGAAAGCACTGAGGGGCAAGAAAAGAAGATAGAGCGACAAAGGGAAAAGAAGCAGAGTGGGGACATGATTCAGGGCAGGAATCGATTGAGATCCTGGGGGACAGAGGGCTGCGGCCTACCTGAGCACGCACAGACCCAGACAGAGAAGTGGGTTGAAACTCTCACACAGATTAGAGGGAGTATAAGTACCAACACAGGACAAGGAGGGCAGACTGGCAGACAAACATAAGAAGAGGCTGTCTACACAAAGAAAGACACACATGCTGTACAGGGATCAGCTGTGTCTGATGCCCGTGCAGCTGTCTGCAGCCCGTCTGAGAAAACACTGATCAGTCCAAACAGACTACATTTTGGTACTTCCTATTTTTATGAGTGTCTGAGCTTACAATTAAGCTGTCTCCTTCCTTCTCACCCACTGATAATCCTGCGTTATAAGCTCCTTCCTAAAATGTAAAATAGTTTCCTCAGCTGGATAGCACAAATGCTTTTCCTGTTTATGTATTGGCAGCCCCCTCCCACCCCCCCTTTTTTTTTTTTTTTTTTTGTTGCATTTAAAGCTATTATTCCTTGTTTTTCTATGAAGGCTCCTCAGATCACATGCCAGCAGATAAACTGTTCATATGCATGAGAAAAATCGCCACCTCTTTGAAGTCTCACTGAGCTGTAGGAACAGTTCATTTGTATGCCGTCGTGGGGCAAGAGTCAAAGGGGAGAGGACTCTCATGCACATTGGAAGATATTTCTTTCTCAGCGGGGGGGCGCGCTACGGTTAGAAATTGATCCATCATCCGTATTGGGTTTGAATCAATTTCGTCCGCCAATCTCAGAATTCTAAAAGACTTATTTTTAGTCTTATAAAGGAGGAAAGACATTTTTCACCCACAGATAGAAACTGCATATGAAGGAGTTCAGATGTTACCAGTTTTGTGGGGGGATCACAAGTGCTTAAAGACTTCTGGTCTAACTACAAGTCTTTTACTTTTCACTTTGTAGTGGTTACAATCTGAGTCGTGTTGGGGAGTAAGACTGCATTTAGGTATATTTATGACCTTATTTGTTCGTACTTCACTAAACAAACTGTAGGTGTGCCATATCAGCACACTTTGTTCTGGATACTATTTTATCCCAGACACACAAAACCCTGTGTGCCAATCCAAATAATCTATAATCTTTAATCTCTCTAATGAATCTTTTTAAAATCATAGATCCAACTTTAATCAGCCTTTGGAGCCTGAGCTCCTGCACTCTTGGTTTAATGCTGCCCTTGCATTCGTCTTCATCTTTAAAAATGCTCAATTATTCCATTTCCAAGATTAAAATTCAGGGAAATTACATTTAGAATACTTCGTCCAAGGTCATTCAGTCTTGCATTAAATATTAAATCTGCCTCTGGTCTGTTTGTGTGTGTGTGTGTGTGTGTGTGTGTATGTGTTTGTGTGCGTGTGTGTGTGTGTAGCTGGCTGAAGAAGTCGAGTGGACCCAGTTGCCTAATGGAGAGTACACCACAGCCGAAATTCGCCCCAACGCCTACATCCCTGAGAATGACACTCTCCCGCTGCCGAAACCCTATGGGGCCCAGGCCCCCTTCAAACCCTCCCAACCCGGTGCCAACATGAGACACATCCGCAAACCAGCGCTTAAATCCTTAGAGACCTAGAATACAACACAAATATATTCATAAAGTTCAAAGTCTTGTTTTGGTTTGTCCTTTAAATACATTTAATTTACACTTGACAAATCAAACTCAATTATTTTCCAGTGTATTGCAGTAATTTAGCTTTTTTTTTATATCCCTTTTTTAAACTCACTTTCCTGCATACTGCTGCTGTTTGTGTCATTAGGGAGCAACTCTCGCAGGCTGCATCTGTTTGTAATTTGGTTTCCCTTTTCAAATTTACTGGCAAGAGCTTGTTTACACTCTTGCTTGCTGTAACACCAAATACTGTAGATGAGTACAAGGCAAAACAGAGTACAGGGGGGAGATAAAATGTTTGAGTATTTTGTTACATCATGTCCAGGTGATGTGTTGTTGTGGATTTATTTCGGCCCTTAGCAACATGCAGGTTTCCTCTTGGTTCATTAGGTACTATAAATTTGTTCTTTAGAGACACTGCAATATTTCAACATCTCTGTCAGTCTTGTTGCCGTTTTCATCCCCCGCACTTTTAATCTTGCAGAAGGTTTAAGCTCTAAGCTAGGCTAAGACTGCCAGAATAACGCCTGAAATGATGAATGTAAATAGAGAAAGAAGATTGGGCAATGAAAGCGCACAGAGGATGACAAGTGAGAGGAGAATGTCAATGAGGAGGAACAGGCAATGGCAATCTAAAAAGGGACTAAAACAGATAAAGAGTGCAGCTGTAAATGGGGTGGAAAGTTCAGAGTCGGTTACTCATGATCATGTTTTGCGAGATTTGTGAGCTCTGTTTTCGCTGGGAACCCAGTTTATTTAAGGGGGAACTCGTCTGTGGTTGCCATAGGCTACAAACTACTTCTGAGTGCAGCTGTGGATGCTAAAGGTTTTGTTTTCTCATAATAAACAATAAGCTCTCAGCTGTAATAGGCTAAATGCTGCAATGCTATTCAGTTAGCTTAAAGTAATCAATGAACACTCAGAAAAGTGAGATAAAAAAAAAGGATACACAGTTGAGTAACCTAGCTGTACGTGGCAAAGAAACCGCTTCAAATTAGCAGTTAGCTGTGCAGAAGAAAAGAAACTTGAGCACCTCTTTAGTTTAATTAACAACACATTCTGAGTCAAATGTTAAAAGCTTTAAGAAGGCAGCAGGTCAGTGACGTGTGCGTGTGTGATTATCAACTGCAGGGCCGATGGTCAGCTCTGTTAGACAAACGTTCCCCTGACTGTTTGTGCGTATTGTCCAGCTACATAACACTGACTGCATAACAGAGGCGTCAAGGAGGAAATCATGTGAGGATGTCTTCACGTTTTAAGCGAAATTCCACAGAAGATTGAGGACATCTGTAGTAATATAGACAACGCCTCAGTAAAAAAAGAAAATAATGGTGTAATTTGGCAATAATGTGACTCAGCGTGTATGACTGATGCCGAGATCATTTCCTGACTTAAGTGGAACTCCGCTGAGTCTGTGCAAAACACTCAGGTGCTGTCAGAGAGCTCACCTCCTCTGCAGAGATTCTCCTCAACCTAGAAAAACGATTTCACTGCGAGTGGAAATCATTTTTTATTTTTTATTTCAAGGCTCAACAGTAAAACATACTTTAAGCTCCTGCGTGCGAGCTCTCCAATAGTACATCAGTTAAAGAGAAACATGCGGTGCACTTGTTGCAAAAATCTCTTTATTTACAATCCATTTTACAAAACTCTTAAAGTGTAAACATATCTGTTTATAAAATCCCTTTTTTTTGGCAGAGGAATGCTTTGCAATAGTTTGAACATGAGATGTAAATAATCTCTGGTATTTAGTCTCGCAGGGTGCCAACACTCTCGGACATTGCGTAAAGAATTATGAACATGACACACACATCCTCACCAGAACTTCACTTACAGTAAGAGGACAGTCATGTGTGAGGGCACAAGACAACTTTATTCACACCAGATGTTTCATTGTGTGTGAGAGCGTGCAGGCTGAGTAATGGCCGAGTTTATTTCTATTTTCTTACTTATTCAGTTTGTTTAGTCTTTTCTGTATCTGGTGTTTTATAAACTCCTTTGAGGACTGTTTTTTGCTCTCTGCTATATAAAGAAAGTCACTTTAAAGATATTAAAGCCTGCTTGCCCATGTTGTACCAACTTACATGTAATAAAACTGGGTATTATATTTTTCTGTTGTAACAAATTCAGCCCAAGGTATGGGCTAACGTTCGCTAACATTAGCCATCACAGGCTAAAGGTCTTGTAGGAATGTAGTCATGGCGACCAGCAGCAGCACGCTACCCGGCTTCTTTTTGAGTTTTCGTTACAGATCAATTTCTTTCATCGATTTCTGAAACTTGTATCCATACATCTACGATTGTATCTACTTTCATCTATCCTACAACAACTTCCACTTCCTTTTCTTTCACCAACCGCCGTAAACGATTCAGTCGTACAGTCTGAGCTGACATGCCACGCCAACTTTTATACAATCGGGGAGAAATGGCACAGTGTGAGCCAGGCTTTAGACATGTCCCTGATATTGAGTTTCTAAATCTCAGTCGTCTTAAAAGCTTAACATAAATTTGACAATTAGTTTTGGAAAAAAAAAAAAAAGTTAAAGACAGGTTGCATTTCAAATCAAGAGTAATGAGTCTATTCAAGTCTGTGCTTTATCTTTCTTATATCTCCTTGGGGTTTTAATTTTGAGTCCTTCAAGTGCCACTGAGTTATAGAGCTGCAATGATTCTGCGTAACTCAGTGTTGAAATCCGATTTAATGCACAGCAGCCGGCGACCGACCAAATCAAGCTGCCGTGTGTTGGTGAAGCTTTTGTCAGCATGTAATCAAGTTGATGGGGTGCAGCCGCATGAGGAGGATAAACAAGTGCGTATGATTTATAAAGTGTGTTTGCAGTTTTTGACGTTCGTGTTCATAAATTGTATGAGAGAAAGTTGCAGAGGAACGGGACGCAATTGTTATGTCCCCAGATTTATGAGTTCATGTGAAAAGCTGCCTGTGGTTATAGATTTTCAACAGGAATTTGAAAGAGTATGTCCCTCTAAATTAAATTAAATTCCGTTTTAACTGCCCCCTATTGTCCTCGAAGTTTTGGTTCCTTTTGTACATTGTTGTTTGTGTGGGAAAAAAACGGTTCTTCTCACGTCCCAGCATCCTCAGTGTTAAAAAAATAAAAGTGGGGGGGGGGGAAAAGCTCTTCATCCTCTCCTCCATCTTTCCTTCCAGGGCGTCTCCATCCATCTCCCCCTCTGCCCCACCCTCATTTGTCATCAGCCAGTGAGAGCTTGTTTATAAGCGCTCTGCCTCTCAATCTCTCCACGCATCTCTCATTTCTCGCACTCCATCCCTCCATCATCCACCCATCCGTTACTTGTCCTCAAGGCCCAGTCAGTCGATGATGACTGTTCTCTGAAACACATTTTCCCCCTCATCTGTTTCCCCTTCAATCCATCCATCCACTGCCGTCTCACTCTGCCCTCCTACTCCCCCCCCCACCCACATCCTTTATTTTTCCTCATAGCCCAGCAGTATTAATGTTTGCTTCAGAGCCGTCTCCTCCACGAACCGAGCATCAACGTTCTCCTGCTCCTCAAAAGGGTTGAGAGCTGAAAACAGGAAGAGGAACAAACAGAGAAAGAAACAGTTTCATAAGAATATCATCGCATGCTGCCTAACTTTCTCCTGCCGCATTCTGACCAAACTTGCACAGAAAAAATACACATTCTGTCTTAATCCTCCAAAGACGTCTGTATCTAAACTGGGCAGCAAACACACACACACACACACAGTCTTACCTTGTTCTTCTATATCAGAGAGTACCTTTGCCAGGTAGGTAAGAGGCAGAAACTCGGGTCTGAAGCCCGGCTTGTCTCTGCCGGTGAATGCAAATCCCTGTGGAGGAAAGAAAAACAAACACATGACTGGATTCTTCGGGTTTTTCGCCAGGACACACACACAGGCAAGTCAAATCTGAAGCAAATCCAGAAACTCACTTGTTTCCTATTTTGGATAAAGTTGAAATGTCCTGGAACTTACTGTATCTGTCATTGCTAGAAATGCGAGTAGCTCTCTGTGCCAGTCTGCCAGCCAATTAGTTGACTGGAACTGGCCAACAGCATGCTTAAGTACATTCAGTGTAGTATCTCTATTTTAGCTGTATAGCTTTGGTCACTGTTTTAAGACATATAATAAAGAAGCAGAAGTGGGAGATTGTTTTGTAACATTGCAGGAAGAGACAAAAAATATATTACAAGTGCTTTGTAAGCTTAGCTGTAATTTGTGTTTATTGTTTTTTATATATTTTTTTTTCATAAGCAAATTTTAGCATGATGTAGGCTCAAAGCACACAAAGAGCTGCTAGCATTACTTGTTACCTGTTTTTCCAGAGTCTAAATGTATAAAAGACTTATTTTGTCATAGCAACAGTCAGACCACAAATCATACTGATATCAAAGAAGTTTAATGAGGGAATCATCCCAGTGCAGAGTCAGGTGTGTGTGTCTAATTGTCACTGATTAAGGCCCAGGTGTGGGAAGTCTATATAAAGCCTGAGGTTTGAGCTGTGTGTACTGACTCATCCCCTCATCAGAGGCAGCGAGAGGGTCATTCAGTGGTTTCTCTTGTTGTAAAGTGGGGTTTGTATCTCTGCAGAAGCATCACAAGAACCTGCCTGTGTGATTTACTCACCATTTGTAGTTTCTCTCAGAGTGTAGTTTGTTGGTGCTGTCTTGATTTAAATCATGTCTGTCAGCTGTTGTACTTTATTTTGAGGAGGGTTTACGTGGTCTCTCTTAAAGTTTACTTTCTAGTAAGCTAGGCAGCAGTGGTTCATTTCCCCTTTTCAAAGTGTATTTAGTCAAGGGAGCTGGTTTGTTCCACTCTGAGATGGATAGATAGATAGATAGATAGATAGATAGATAGATAGATAGATAGATAGAAAAGCACTTTACCCTTACAAATAACTTAACACTTTAGCTAACAAGTCTCAACTTTATCTGCTGTTAATTAGGCTAATTAGCAGCAAACTAGCTAATTTTAGCAATCTAAACTAGCTAACATGCTAAAAATCAAGCCAGCTAAATGTGAGCTTTGTTTGCAGTCATTAGTTCCTTTAGTGTTGTGTTTTACACTTGACAAGCATTTTGGTCAACTGAGGTTGTTTTAAATGTCTTCCACTGTCATTTATAGACGGCAGCATGATATCTAAGCTAACACTGCTGTGGCTAAGTGAATCCTTCTAGAGATGTTAGCATGGCTTTAGCTAGGTCAAAGCACAGCTCGGGCTTATTATGGCCTAACATATTTGATACTGTAGGCTGTCAGCACTGCTGTTAAATACACGACTGATATAATATTTCAATCATAAACTGATTGATTTACCTACCAACTGTTTCACCACTAGACATTATATTGTATATCCTCTGTTGTTGTTTTTTTTACATCTTATGATTTCCCCATTGTGTGTAGATGACCACGGTGCTTTAAGAGACACAAGGCATGAACAAGGCTGTTACCTTGTTTTTGCTGTGCTTCTCCAGCAGAGTCCTGACATAATTTCTGGAGATTGAAGCTGAACTGACAGGATGGTCCCACATATGGTAGATCCTCTGCTCCATAGGCTAAAACACACAAACATACATAACATACAGTTTTAATTTTAGGCATGTAGACAATCACACCCTGAAAATACGAACATCTGTCCCTTTCTATTTTGTTAACTGGAGCCCAAAAGAACTGCAGAGGACTTGACTGTTAATGAGTTATTCCAGAGAAATCTCACTTTGCAGTGTTAGGAAATGCACACTACGGTAATAAATAACACTTCAGTAACAAAACCTACAGGTGTGACTGACAACAAGAAAGAAAGCAGCTTTTCCTCAAGGCGGCTTTCTGTCTAGCTTCAAACACGCTGCCAAGTGGAGCTGCTGAATCACTTGAAGGGTTGGTGGTATTATCAGAGGTGAGAGGAAGCAAGTACAGACAAACACAACTGCCAAGTTCCTCCGCTGATTAATGCTTTCACATTGTATCACCAGTGTTCAAACTTTTTTTTTATTTTTTTGCCGTATTCATGCTGTTGTTGAACTCATTATGAGCTGACATATGGGACAAGTAAAGAATAACCGTTTTAATGAGCTGAAAGTTTAAGAAAAAAAAGAATTATGTTCAAAATTTTTAAACTTTGCGAAGTGTTTATTTGTACTGTTCATCACCATTGATGCAAAAGTAACCATGTGAAAGAAGAAACTTCCAATCCTTACAAACTGTAGGTTGTTATCCTTAATACAGGCTTTGAACATAGGGTGCCTGCTCTACCAACCGATCTATACCAGGGCCCAATCCTTAGTACATTTAAACAAACGTAAAAGATAAGCCAATAGCCTAGTGGTTATGTCGCAGGTGCCTCATGCACAGAGGCTGTAGTCGTCGTCGCAGCGGCCGGGGATTAGAATCCGGCCCTTTGCTGCATGCCATCTCCTCACTCTCTCCTCTTTAGCTGTCCTATCTGATAAAGGCGATAAAGCCCAAAACATAACTGATGCTGTTTGGTCGAAATCAAGTGGCAAACTTCAGGTTTTGAAGTCAAATCAGTAGTGCAAAAATCTGCAGTTTCTCAAGTGTCTCTACTTGATCATGTGACAAGTGTCCTTTAATGAAGCCAGGGAATCCCCAAGGTTATTTGTCCATGTATGGTCACTCACTTAATCATGTAAATATTGTAATCCTCCTCATCTGACATCAATCTATGCACACTGCCTTAATGTAAATACTAGGAAGATCAGATCACAACAAACGGGTTCCCACTTTCCTGAGCTCTAGTTTAAAGACACACAGGGACATCGGAATTTTATTTTTTTTTACAACTGTTTTGGTGTACCAGGTGTGTTTTAAAAAAGCAGCAGAAATGTGTGTCGTGCGTTATAGAGCTGCACTTCCTAGACGAGCCTTAACTCCGCCAAATCCTCCAGTGCCCTGAGGATTTTAGGAACCCACACCCTCTTCTTCTTCTTCGCTGCTCGTCTAGTCCTCTTCCTCCGCAGAATAAAAAGGCCAGGGCTTTCTCCTTTTTAGTGGGACATAAACATTGTGCCTCCAAAAAGAAGCCGAGCTATTTTCCCAACTATCGTTTCAGTCACCTCGCAACTTGCTCCCCTGCTCTGTCTGCACCCTAGCCCACGGCGAGCGTATCAATGCAACCATTCTTAAATCTTAAATCACCAAAAATAATTTCCAAGAACAACTTTTTTGTCAAATTGTGTTTATTTCTTGTAAACTGCTGTATTATTAGCAGAATGATGCACCGCAGAAAGTCCTTATAACCAAAACAAACCCTGACAGTGTGATGCAGGACACTGACGCAAAGCATCCTGTATCTTACATAATGGGAATTATCAGGATGCTGGGTTGAGCCAGGGTATGATTTTCCTACAGGGGGCCAACATCTCCTGTTCTGGCTCTGTGGGAGTGTGTTTGTGTGTGTGTGTGTGTGTGTACGTGTGTGTGTGTGTGTGTGTGTGTGTGTACGTGTGTGTGTGTGTGTTTTGTACCTGCTAAATCTATCTTGCCTGCCAAACTCACCGAACAAAAGTCTGATGTGCAGGAAACAGAGCGCAGAAGCTAAACACTCAACATTCCTCTGATCACAATGTGAACTACACACACACGCGCACACGCACACACACACACACACAGACACACACACACACACACACACAATATATTGTACCCACACGGGAACACGTGAAAGTTACAAAAGAGATAGGGACACACATAAAACAGCCTCAGCCTCAGACTCAGCAGAAAAACTACCTTCAGAACACACACTAACCCTCCCAATGCACACACATACATACTAGCCAGTTACACAAGTGCTCTGTGGCTGGCTTGAGGGGGACTTGAAGGAGATAAGACCCAAAATAACTTCAAACTCTTAATTGGACCAGAATGGGACGTTTTGGAAGAGAGAGCCATTCGGAAAAAAAAAAAAAAAAAAAAAGATCAAAACTCTCCCCTCGCTAATAGATAGGACTATAATAGCCTCTTGAATTGTTTCACATGAAGGCTAAGAAATTGACTCCAACATGGACTCCAGCCCTGTCACACACAGCATGTCAGAATGTGGATGGCTGTTCACCTGCCAAGTGTTTCTTTTCTGTGTCATTAAACCAGACAGAGAGGGTTTGAACGAGCTCCTTTAATCTACCATTGTGAGACAAACTACTCCTAACACCCTGCATTAAATAAATATTTTTGGCTGCACACGCTCGAGAGACATAAACACAGAAGTACCTCAGGGAGCCTTTTAAGTACGCTGAACTTCAGTCTCTCGTTGGCATCGCTGTTGTCCAAATCTAAACAAAAAAGAGAGAAGACATGATGCTAATTACTTGTGTGCAGAAAATTCTCATATGGCATCTCAAAATCCTTAAAAGGAAACATGGGATTAAAGAAATATTGCTGCTTTTTTTCCCCCCTTCTTTATGAAGACACTGCTGGTAAAAAAAATCAACAAATCCCAGCTGTAGTGACTTCAGCTGTTCTTCCCATATGCTAATTTCAATGTGTTAAACACATATTAGAGGATAAGTTAAAGTTTCTAGATAACAAGTGATCTCCTAAATTGGCTTGACGACTTTTTTTTTTAAATGTTTCACAGATGGCTTTAGATGCAGTTAGATCAATCCATTCAAACCATTCTGGGAGATGTAGTACATTTCTGTGCATCCCACCTGTTGTAGTGTTGACTGACAACACATGGGCACATAAATCCTATAATTTGAGTCCTTCTCAGACAATTAAACTCCTTTTCTCATAAGTACAGCTGCTGCACCTGATTAATGTTACACCCTAAAAGTACCTTCATTTCTCCACTAGCAGAGGTCATTAGCAATGCTAACAGCTATCTATGAAGTATTTTTACGATATTTGGTATGATTTGAAAAAATATTTAAACACCAGTCAGGTAGATTAAGGTGCATTGTGCAGATTCTTTCTCGAGCCTCTTAGCAAGTTTACGGTTGCGTCTCTTGGCAACGTCTCAACAACTAACGGATGGTTTTAAAAAGAAATTGTCAAAGTCAAGCTATTTATTTTTCCACTCCTCATTACATGACACTTGAATGTAGGCTAACACAAGTAACTAAGGTACCAAACATTGTCAATATTTTACCTGCAGAACATTAGCAGGTTAGCATTAAAGTGGTGAGCATTTCAACATTCAGTTATTTTGACTTCTAGATTTGCCAGCAGATCCAAGAGATGTGGTGATTTTGGGGAAAGTAAATCTGATTAATAGGTTGAAATGTCAAATGTTTGTTTCACTTGATGATTTATGCGAGTATAGCATTTTACAAATCTGGAACCTGGCTCGGCAAAACTAGTTACTTTGACATATTCCTAAAGAGAGCGTACGTTTGTGTGTGTTTGTGATGAGGCAGAATATGAACATTATTACCGAGGATATTTATTGTATTAATCCCAAAGGACGCATCAAAGTCCTGAACTATCATCTTCTCCCACTTTGAAGTTTGAAACCATGTGGACACTGTCCTTTAAATAATCTTTTTTATCGTTGTGGATCTTTG